CAAATTTCTTTGTCACCATTAAACACACTTTTTGCTCAAGGCGTCTCAACATTTTTGCAACTGGTTGTAGAGTACATTCAGCCTTTGTTTTATTTACAGTTACACTGCCTGAATGTAACTGTAAGTCTACTAGTTTGGATTGTTGCCTTTTTAAATCTTGTATTTTGAATTTCTTGATTATTGTATTTGTCGCAGTTTGAAGCCATCAGTCGATAGCATCATAGCAAATAGTCTCCACGACTGGTTATCATTTGATCAGGTAAGCCTAATGCACACATGGAACAATGATAATAGTAATAATAAATAAATACAATTCTTCCAGAGCACAGGCACTTTGTCAGGGTTATAGTTATGACTGGTAACAAAATTGCTTTTTTCTACAGGCTGAATCAGTGGCAATTCACAACATTAAAGCAGCATGTCTGACAGGATTCTTAAGGATCACAGGACCAAAAGTTGACCGAGCAGAAGGGTGACTTTTCCTTTACCAATGACTTGTATTAGATCTTCACCATAAATAGAGAGCAGTGCCTTCAACATCAAACCATTATACTGAAAGTTGCCATTTGTAAATCCTAGCAGTATGCTAAATGTTGAAGAGTTAATTTATGCCAAACTAATTATCTGAATTTACAGCACGTGTGTATGTAAGTTGAGATCAAATGGGTCCGTGAGTGTCATCTAAGTATTTGCACCTATTTGGAAGCTGTTGCTATGCAACTTAGCAAATCATCTACTGTTGTATCTACTAGTTGCTCTTAAGTCCACTATTTGGTTGGAGCCTCTCCACAGTTAGTTTGTTCCAGTTGCTCTGTAAATAAACAGTGGCACTTTGTAAAAAAAAGGAAGAATTATTGGATAGCTATCCCATCCACTGATCTGTTTACCATCCCACATTATTTACAAATTGACTGAACTTATGAAACAGGCCACTAAAACCCACATTACAAACATGTAACTTCCAAGATACAATCAATAATTCTGCTGACTGACTGCCTTTCAATTCACTCTGAACAATTATAGCCAGTCAAATTTGGTGGTTTTTTTTTTTTTTTTTCAGATAAAGCCATCTTGCTGATGAGCTTGTCTGTTCTCATTGTCTGTTGGCAAGATAACGTATTAATTAAATTTAAGAGAACAATTTGAATATAAATCACTGCTGGGAATCTAAATGTTTAAAGCTTAATTGTCCCAAAGTACTGTTGGTTAATAAAGTCCACCTTGGGTATGTGTTGAATATCACGTTCCTTGACTTGATAGCTTTTGATGGTTTTATTGATTTGTTTTTGTTAAAATTTGTACACAGGAATGATATCTCAAGATATTTTGCTACAATCAGGGACCTTGTACTTTCACCAGATCTTGCTGTGTAAGAAATAGTTTGCTTTTATAAAGAATCTAATGGCATGAAAGATTTTGAATGAGGCTAATCATTTGCTTATATCTGTTGTCTGTTTTGTCCTGTTCCAAGTGCAAAAAAGGGTGTCAGTAGGAAGACAGGTTTCTAAGAATCCCATTCAGTCACATAGGGCAAGTAGATTTCGATGCTGGGAAGGAAGGGTTTCTTGCTCATTTACCCGTTAGGCAGGGCCTCAGATCATGCACAATTTAATCCAGTCCTTAAAACCTTTCCCTCCCAATATCCCAAGAGTAATTCTCCTTAAACCCTACCATACAATTATTATGAGGTTAGCTCAGAGAATTTGGTATTAGATCAACTAATAATTCCTTCATTGATATTTCCTTTACTCTCATTACTTGTCTGCTTGATATTGTATTGATAATGTTAGGAGAAAGTATATCTTGTAACTCACAGAAGTTTAACCCTTTAACTCCCATGAGTGACCAAGACAGAATTTCTCCTTACAATTTCAACAAGTTATGAGAACAAAGGAAAATATCAATTTGGGGATAATTAGTTGATCCAATACTAAATTCTCTGAACTAACATTATAAGAATTGTATTGTTGTCAGTAAGGAGAATTACACATTTGATGTGTGAGTTGAAGGGTTGAGCTTAAGGGAAAATTAAGTTTTTAGACTTTGTTTTCCAGTACCTCTCTTCCTCTTTTCCACGGTGCCTCTTTGACTGTCTTCTTTATCTTAATAGGCCAGTCAAAAGTACTTTGCTGGATATTTTGCTCTTACGAGCATCAGGTTGGAAGATTGAAGATGAAGTAGCGAAGCAAGAATCTGAAGGCTCATCAATGGAGGATGAAGTGTTAGTTGAACCTGAAGATGACCTGACAGAGGAGCAGCTCCAGGAGGGCACTGGGAACGAGGGTGATAGTGAAGGTATGATATGGTAAAAGGAGTTTGTTTAGTCCTCTCTATTAAAAAAATTTATGATAACTTCCATGGTTTACGGTGTGAAGTGCAGTGTGCTGAATTCCAGATCTAAAGGTTGCAATCAATAACTCAATCAAGCAATCAGTCATTAGTCAATCAATGAACAGAAGATAACTTCTGTTAAAAGCAATAAAATAAGTTTCCCCTCTTCAAGAATATTCATGTACTTAATTAACAAGAAAGAGATGTGTCTGGAACATTTTAAAATATTTGACATTTTTAAATGTCAAATATTTTGATGACGTGCAAAGCTTGGTACTGGCTGTCTGAATACTTGGTCAGAGTAGCTTGGAATATTAGTAGCGTAGACAGTGACATGAACACAAGAATGAGCGATGCATGGTCAACCCTGTGAGTGGTCTAAGACTGGAAGTCAAATCCTCAAGATATCTGTAATTATTTTGTGTAACATATGTTGTTCTGTTTTAATTTTTTTTTCTCAAATGTAGAATGGGACCCATACTGTAAGGTCAAGTCGATGTTAGAAAACCTGAAGCTGCAGGATTTGTTTCAAAAGTTTTTCGACAATTGTATTCGCGTGAGTTTCCTCCTAATTTTTGGAGCGTTATTATCTAATGCAGGTATTTATCATATAAACTACGGTGTTACACGAGGATTTCCAGCCCTGAGAAAAGCCGTTAATAACACACTTGGAAAAATATCGTATTTTTTCACGTGTGTTTGATATAGTCAATCAGCTGCTGACACGTCACTCGCCTTTCGCGCCACTCGGTTAGGTTGATGAATGAACAGCAAAGCCTTCACCATTCTCAATCCAAGGTTTTTTGTCGGGATGTGTTCGGATTATGGCTGCTTACAGACAGTGACGTTCAAACTTTCCTAGAAGGGAAAGAAAACCAAAATACGCAAAGAAAAACCGACAGTTACGTATTCAGTGGCTTTGTTTATGGCATTTCACGCGGCTGAGAACAAAAATCGACAACTGGACGATTTGTCACAGGCCGATTTTGGCCCTGTACCTGAAAGATTTCTTCGGTCGGTGAGGACCAAGTCAATAACTGAGAATTTTGTATATTGAAAATTACGCCCATCGTTTGTTTTTGTAGTGTTTCAACTCATTTTTTCATCTTAAGTCTTAGCGCCAATGCCTTGTACGATTTTTATTCGGGGATTGTCGATCCTTTATTTTCATTCGTTAATAAAGCTGACTTTTCTTGTCAGTAAAGGGATATTGTGTCTATATGATAAACGAAAAAATACATGGTTGCTTGTAGATATGAACTTTCTTTTCTTGAGTTCAACTCGGCATCTCACTCGTGAACTATCGAGTTAAACGCTCTAAGAAAAATTCCATATTTACACGCGCCCATGTATTCTCTATATCTGTTTTTTTTGTTTTTTTGTTTTTTTTTTTTGTTTGTTTTTTTTTTATCGAGACTTTCTTTGTCCATTGGTCACCTGAATGTTGTTTGTTGACTGAAATGTGAAGGGTGGGAGGGTGAAAGTCAAATTATAGTTGATTTATGCGTTAACTAAGAATAGTTTGAGCCTCTTTCCTGATTAATATATGTTTCAGGACTCTCTCCTCACAGCTGATTGGGAAGAACTTAAGAGAACTCTGCAGGTGAGTTTTAACAAATCGACAGTGGTTTAGCATGGTCTGTACTCTTATCGACAGCAACATTCGTCGTCATAGTGGTCAAAATGTTGTGGACTCGCGAGGCTTAGCCGAGTGAGTCCGCAAAAACTTCTTCAACCTTTTACACCCGAACATCAGTATGTATATTTCCATTACTGTTCTCCCTACATTTCCCAAGGTTTTGACAAGGAGAATTTGTTTAAAAGTCAAGAACTTCTTTGGTGATCATGACCTTTATTCTCGTGACCTTGATGTTTGATTCAGAGGTGATGTTGTAAGAAGAAATTGGATGCTAGTCACTCTTAGGGGTTAAATGGTTAAAGCATAAGTACTGCAAACCACAGGCAGCCCAAGCTCACGTCTCGAGAAAAAGCCAACAGTTAATTCATGAAAGTGTCACGCGTTGTGTGATACGGTGTTAAGTTACGAGAGGTACCGTTGAAAATTTGAACACATTATAAGGAATAGTATGGGGAACGAAATATGGTCGATTTACAACGATAAATATTTCAAAATTTGAACTCTATACACGTAAAATGAATAAAACTTATTCACATCTTTTGTGTCCGTTGTAGTTCTGCTGTTTTAAGCTTGCTTTTCCATCACTGTCATTCCTGTCAAAAGACGTAGTAATAACAAGAATAACAGTGATGGAAAAGCAAGCTTTTAAGGGCAGAAATCGCCGGAAACCACAGCGGACACACATGATGTGAGTAAGTTTTATTGATTTTTACGTGTAAAGAGTTCATATTTTGAAATATTTATCGTTGTAAATCGACCGTTTTTCTTTCCCCATACTATTCCTTATAACGTGTTCAAATTCTCAACGGTCCCTCTGCAAACTTAAAACCGAATCGCACAACACGTGACAGTTTCGTGATTGATAGTTTGCTTTTTCTCGAGACGTGAGCTTGGGCTGCCTGTGCTGCAAACTTCATTTACTTTTTACACTCAGTTATGAAATCCTCTTGTAGAAACACACCGACCCAAATTTTCTCAATTATTTGAATAAACGGCCCTCGGACAAAATAGTTTTTCGTACGGTCTCTTAATTGACTACATAATTTTGTTTTCCAGGAGGCCGGATTTCCTCCTGGTGTTATTTTGGAAATAAGGATGTACTTAAACAAAGGTGAGAGTGATCAAGTATTACAGTCGTTTTTGTTTATTTGCTTGTTTGTTGTCGTTTTTAAACTACTTTTTATTATACCCATAGGGCTATTGGAGGAAAACGTAACGAAGATCTTAAAGCCTCCTGCACACAAAATCATCAATGCGTCAACTGCAGGAAAAATTAAGGAGATGAAGAACAAACCCCCTAGATCTCCTTCGCCGACCAAATCAAACGAGAGCAGTATTGCTATAAACCAATTGAACCAGGAGCTGCAGCAACTCATGATTGAGGGAAAACAAGACAAAGGAGCACAAAGAGTTTCGCCAACAAAAAAAATCAGCCCCCTCAGTCAACAAACAGGACACGAAGGAACACCGTATAACAGGGCGGGGACTCGTAAGTTTGTTAGCAAGGCTGAGAGGAGACGGTCATCAGAGGGCTTACCTGAAGAAGTATCTTATTTATTACCGGACTATGCTGATAGCTTGTATGAAAGGATGGCTCCGTCTCCTCATGCTCCAGTGGAACCCAGCAATAAACGCCCCACCGTGGAAACAATTGCTGAGAGTCAAACTGTATCTTCAGTGTCGTACAGTGCTGTGCTCAAGGGCGTGTCACAGGAAACAACTAAACCTGGGGCAGCTAAAACAAAAGAAAGTCAGTCCAAGACATTTTCTCGGCCCCCACCTGGGTTTCCTCCTCTCCCCACCCATGGTGGGGACACTAAGATGCACATGACAGTGTTAGGCAACAAGTCAAAGACAAAAACCCCTGGACCGTCAAATAGTACACCGCGAAACAATACCCCAACCCGAGCTGACGCTAGTATGAACTGGCGAAACGATGGCCGGCAAGAACCACGCAATCAAACTACCATACAACCAGTAAATCCATCACCCTCTGAACAGGGAGTTAAATGGAGATCATATGATGATACTGTTTCCCAGACTGAAAGTAAAGCGCCACCGATGTCTGGAGCCTCCAGCGACGCGTCTAGTCAGAGAGGAGAAACACCGCAGGAAGATCAAGCATCTGTGAAATCCGATGAATCTAATGAGCCCCCGCCGATCGTCCAACCCCACCGGGTATTTGGCCCTGGTGGTTTAAAGGCTTGTGTGATATGTGGTAGTAAGGAACATCTACGGTGTAACGACCGCTCAAAAATGTTTATGGACTAAAGAAAAGAGCACTTAACACGGAAGCGCTTTTCGATCGAGTGTCGTAAAACCAAACTGATCACAAAGGCTGTTCATAGCGCAGACGAATATCACAAGAAACCAATGAGAAGTCAAAGTAATTACAAGTAAACAACGTCAAATGCACAAAAATTCAAGTGTTATTGCCACAGTCGTTCCAAGTTTAGCATCTGATTGATTTAAAAGAGGGCATTGTTTTTTTTAGTGCAATCATTTAGTGAAGGAAATCAACACAGTCCCGCAGTGCTTTTGACATTGACTTCAGAATTGCTACCCTTTGACTCTGTGACTATCATGTACTCTGAGCAAAAGAAACAGCTTTTCAACGAGCTTCTTATTTAACCCTGTGACTCCTAACAGTGACTAGCATCTAATTTCTCCTTACAATATCACCCCTGAATCAAACATTAAGGTGATGAGAATAAAGGAAATGATCACCAGCTTAAGAAGCTCTTGATTATTAAACAAATTCTCCTTGTCAACCCTACAGGAAATATATAGATAACAGTAGGGAGAATGTGCATACAGATGTCAGGGTGTAGGGGGCTAAATGGTAGCGCAGCACGATCTATTCCGTGAACAGTACTATTTCCTTACTTTGCAGAGGCAGCGTGAAGATCTTTGTTTATTAGGTACAGTTAAAGCGTTTATCGTCATGTAGGACTTTTTCCCGTTCTATTTAAGATTCAAACAACCTAGAACCAGTGCCTGCTTATATGATTGACGTCCACTGAGCAACTCAATTTGGGTTCCTCCTATCGGTTTCTGACGTTTTTCAGTTTCCTGTGAATTTTTTAATAGTTTTCGATACAAAAAAAAAATACCTTGGTAATGCCATAGTTTGTTTTATCAAATATTTGGTTTGACTTGCTGCATAAGAATGCTTTATCTTAAAGGTTTTGGAACGCGTGGGTTTATTCGACGTTCTATTTAACTACTTTGGACATAGGAATTGGGTGATATTACTAACCGAGTTGACAATCATTTTTAAAGAGTTTCTGAGGCTGACTGACGTTTCGAACGTTAGCCCTTCGTCAGAGCGAATAAAGGAATTGTGGGTTGTGTGTAGTGTGTCAAGAAAACGATGAAGCTTCGCTATTTGTCGGAACATGGGATAAATTTTTGTTTTAGTTCTAAACTCTAGAGCACAATTTATGAAAGTAAAGATATGGGACAACCCACCCAGAAAGGAGGGAAAGCGGCTCAGTGGTGATAATGGACGCGTTCCACCGCTATGTCCCTTCCTTTTATTCCCAAACCAATAACCCTTTGAACTCTGAGAGTGATTAGCGGCTAATTCTCCTCACAGTATTATCTATGAATCGCACACTAAGGTCATGAGAATAAAAGAAATGATCACCAACTGAGGAAGCCCTTGCTTGTTAAACAAATTCACCTTGTATACACCTTCGGGAAAAGTATGGAGCACAGTATGGGGAAAATGAATACTGATCTTAGCCTATAAATGGTTAAGCTATAAGCTTTAGACATTTTTCCTGAGTTTCTCTTTAAGTTCTCAGGTTTTCCCCTCGATTGAAATCAATATACAGAGTTCACATTTCACCAAAGTCGCTTGTAAAGCTGTGCCACTGCCAAATACCATTTCTTTACTTATTATTTAATTGATCTAACTGCCTTCACAACTTTCTCAAAGAGATTAAAAAAAGCAATTTAAACGGAAAAATTTAATCATTAATAGCCTAATAATTTGACAGTAACTGATGACATCTAAACCTACTGATCTGACATGTGTAAGTGGACAATATATACACAATTTTATATTTTTAAAAATTTGCCATACAAAAATCTTTCAAATCTGAATTGTGAAATAACTGAACATAATGTACTACCCTTAATCCTTTCAAAAGATACTTACGCAAAAGAAAGGTAATCTTGTGTCATATTTAATTTTTGAGAAAAATAGCCTGTATGTACGCCGCCAAATTCGTACTCAGTAATAAGCAAAAGAAAAGTAAGAAATATCACTACGAGACGGAAGCAGGAAACAATTTTGAAATTGTAAATTGACCAAAAATTCGTTACTTCTAACAAAGTTAACCACTCAACAACCATCTGAAAATAAAGATTTGCACAAAAATTAAACAAAAATACTCGGGCCATATTACATCAATATGACATTTGATCACCTCTATCGTAATTGAATTGTAACAAATAGCATTTTATATGTCGATTTACTGAATTTCTCGGGACGATTGATTGACGATTGATTCAAATACAGAAGAGAGAATAAAGGCAAACAACCAATCGTTAAATTTCAACAAGCCTTCAATAATATTCACATTCTAAACAGTTTGTAATATTGTGACCAACTTGAAGACTGTTTTCCACCAACAAGAAAACCCCCATGCATGTAGCACTGATCAGGTTTGGCTTAAAAAGTGAATTGCTTCAAATTCTATCACTATTCACTTTCAAACAGAAAACAATGCAAGTCAGGACTCGTTATTATTAACTCTTATACTTCTGTGAGTGACCAAGACATAATTTCTTCTTAAAATAACAGTACAACATAGAGCAGACGTGATGACATTAAAGAAAATGATCATTAAGGGAATTTTTTTGGTTGATCCAATACCAAATTCTCCTAACTAACATAATAAGTATTCGCTGCTAGGCGGTAAGGCGAACTGCAATTGAGATCTTAAGTATTCCTGACTACTTCATAAACTTAGAAAATCGCTATAGAAGATTTCAAATTACACATTTCGATTCAACGACGTAGACCGTTGAACTCTAATGATTAACAGCTGCTGAGCACATCTAAAGGCCTCTCCGCAGTACGCTGAGTAAATTCAAAAACACAACTCTACGTCTACGGCTACCTCCAGCGAACACACTGATCCAGATGAAGCTGAACCTGGAGTAAACTAAAAATGGCGCCTTTTGAAAACGCTCTTTTCTTAGATAAATTTGATAATACGTTCTTTAAGTCCTAGTGTGGATTTTTTTACTGCACTTTCAATTTATTTATTATTATTATTTTTTTTGCAGTATGGTTAGACCTATCGGATCGATGTAAATATCTGAGCAACCGTGCACCTACCCCTCCCCTAACCTAGCAACAGTCAGCTAATAACAAGGGGGAGTAGGTGCGCAGTTGCACACATTCTGACGACCTTTCTTGCACGAATGCCCAAGGTTGCAGTCAAGCTTTTCTACCACTGATCACTGCAGTGTGAGCGGAAAAACTTTCTCTGATTTCCAGGTCTTTTTGAAAAAGGTTTTTTTCAAATTTACCAGGCGTAATGCGGATGGTACAATAGTGATCTTTATTAGTCTGACTTTCAAGTTATGCGCTTCATTACTTATTAGGTCGTTTTATATCTAAAGCAGAGAGTAATACGATTGTAGTTATTTACGGTCATGCTTGTCCCCTTTACTCAACTTTCACGATGTCTTTCCATGCCAAGGCATGGTTACTTAAGCCATCAAGGTACCAGAAGAGAAAGCCTTGTTCCTTCAGTGTCCTACCTCCTGACATAGAATGATCTCATATTACTGGTAAATCTGCAAATCATGGTTAGCTCCCTAGTGGGTTAATCTTGTTGTGCTGAAGATCTTGAGACCTCCACAGTTGGTAGAAGAATTCAAGACATTACAGAAGCTCCCGAAGTATCCGCATCCAAAGTCTTCAGCCGTTTCAAGATCGTTTCGTTGAGTTTTTTGCGGTCTCGGTCGACTTTCTTTAAAGTTAAAATTCGCTTCTTTCCTGTGTCCGTCATCCTAAAACAAACATTGATTTCTCAAATCAGAATGTTCAATTAACAGTTTTCTATACGAGCTACCTTTCACTACTTTAGTTCCAGTTGTTTTATAGGTACTATCTTATATATATCTTAATAATTTCTTATTTCCTAGTTTTTAATTCTTAATCAGCAGGACCCCATTGATAAAAGTACTTATGTATTGAAGGGTTATCCTTGATAAAGATTTCGATTTATCATCATCATCATCATCATCATCATCATCATCATCGTTATTATTATTATTATTATTATTATTATTATTATTATTATTAAGCCACGTTCGCGTAGTTCGTTCGAAAAACTTTCCTTTCATGCAATTGTTCGAAGACAATCTCTTTTCACGGCATCCATACCCACATCCTTAGTAAGTTGTTATGCTTTCCCAAGCAAAGCTTAGCTTCATGATCAACAGTGTGGATAAGAAGGGACAACTTACAGATAAGTTACGGAAACAGAAAGCGGGAAAAGTAGACACTGATTAAACTCATTTAAATCCGAACGCTGAACAAAATAAGGAAAAATTATTTTATTTATTTTATTTTTTAAATTATCAACGTAAGTGCAAAAACGGCTACCAAGGCCGCCGACGGTAGCTCAATTATGCTGTTCGCCAAAACGTCATGTTTAGCTTCTGAAAAAATTTTCCCCCTTTCAGTTTCGACTGGTGCCATTTTGGTATTTAAAGGGCACTTACTTCTCAAGGATTCTTGCTACATCTTGGGGGCTAACTCGACTGTATTTACTAGTTGTGTAACCATGTTCAGCGAAGTAGGTGGACCAGTCCGCATTCAACAACAAATCTACCAACTGACAAACATGTAAAAGTTCAAACAGTAAGAAGCATAAAACAATAGAGGTAGAAAGGAAACCGGGAGCAGAACACGAACAGCTCACAATAATCTAGTCTCCTTCGCAGCAGATGTTTTGGTCTCGTAAAGCAACGCACTCTCTCCTGTTGGTG